AACATGTTTCCTTCCTCATGCTAAATATTATATAATTTCCTCATATTTAAGTGTTACTGTAGCTGAGGACTATTTATGTCAATATCTTGTTAAAAGACTATTTACCCATGGAATATTTTCTCATTTATTTGTACCACTGTAAAATTTGGGTATTTTGCCATTTTTTTCATTTATTTAATTTTAGTTTTCAAATATTGTATACATATATATATATCATATTTATTATGTTGTTTTAAAATATGTACACGTTGTAGAATGGCTAAATTGAGGTAATTAATGTATACCTACCTCACACTCATTTCTGAAATTTTAATATCTCAGTGATTTCAAGAATACAATATATAGTTTTCAATTGTAGTTATCATGCTACACAATAGATCTCTTGAACTTCCTCTTTGTATCTAACTGAAAGTTTGTAGCCTTTGCTCAACAGTTCCAGAATTCCTAGCCCTTGGTAACTAACTACCATTCTCTAAGTTCAGCGGTAGTTCATTTCACCTGGAAGTGGGGTCATGTGGTAACCATCTTTCTGCACCTGTCTTATTTCATTTCACACAATGTCTCCCACATTTATTCATGTTGCTGCACTTATTTTTACCACTGAAAAATATTCGGTAATATGCCATACTATGTGTATACATAACCACGCTTTTTTCTCCATTTATCAGCTGATAGACACTTGGGTTTTTTCCATACCTCAGTTATTCTGAACAGTGCTGTCACAAACACAGTGTGTCAAGCTCTCTGACATGCGGAAGTTATTTCCTATGGATGTATACTCACTTAATGGGATTGCTGGGTGATAAGGTAGTGTTATTTTGAGTTATTTTTGAGGATCCTTGTGCTTTTTTGCCTTAATGAATACACCAATTTACACTACCAGCAGTGTGCAAGGATTTTCTTTCCTCCATATCTTTGCTGGCACTTATTATTTTGCATTTTTTGATGGTATCCATGTGTTAAAAGCTGAAGTCTCAAATATGTAGAGTGGGTGAATGTATCTTTATTTTCCCTTTCCTATCTGTTTTCAATATATGTCTTGCACCAAACCAGAATTTCATTTTATTCAGGAATGGTGGTACTTAACATTACAAATTGTACTGACTTCTGTTTGTATGGGAATTTCTTCTTAGCATGCACCTTGTGGGAATTAGCCCACTGGCCTGACATAAGAGTATGAGGAAGGCAGGAAACTATCAATTCCATCTCACTGAGTCACTTGCCTAAAGCCAGTGTTTGCCCCTGGTCTCTAAGTGCAGCTCCTTTTGCATACACTGCACGGCTTCTCTGACCATAGAGTTACTGAGGACTGGAGTATGCATTTAGCTAGGGGCCAGGAATAACTGAGGCACAATGGCATAGCTGGATCACATACCAGATCCAGCTTCTTGTACAATTTATTATTCCTTCTAGTTAACTTTTTCTAGTTAACCTAATAATCTTTCCTCAAAATGAATGGCTACCACACTGAAGAATAAAGGGTCATTAAAATATTTATAGTATATTATTTGCTAATTTATGTTCTCCACTGTATAAACTTTTCCAAGTTGTTGCCATTGTAGGGCCTCCTAAAATAGAGCAATAAATCTATATTTTAATGTGACAGAATTATAATTTTTAAACACTAAGTTGTACTTGGAATGTAAGTTTCTGTTTGTGTTCAACTGTCTTTGTTTCCTTCTCTCTTTCTTTTTTCTGTTTTGAAAAGTCACTTTGCTATAAGTTCAGTTCTTTTTACTTTTATCCACAGGGAAATCATAATCCTTTGCTTAAATAGAAGCTGGTTACCATGGAAATGCCACTGAACCAATATCTTGATTTTGCTGACGTGCAATGTAAAAAGAAAAGGCAGGCTAAGGTTTATAAAAGTCACTTTTTATCTGCATTATAATGTTGATAGCTAGAAAATTATAAGGAAAGCATATGCTCTGTAATGAACTTCAGTTAGCTGGTAATTATAAAGAACTGAGAATTCATAAAAGAGCAATTTACATATTTATGTAATTTTGGACTCACATATACACATATGTACACATGCATTTGGATTCAAAATGTTTTCCATGCTGAACTAAGCCCTGATTCTATCCTTTTATTATTGAAGTCATAAAATGTTAGGAGAGATCTGAAGATAGTTCTGCAACTGCTTTTGTTCCTAAGAGTTCTGAGGAAAAAGCAAAATATGCATAGAAAACCAATTCACTTTTCTAGAGAAGTGTACCATTTCTGCACAGGATGCTAATAACTCATCCAGTCTACTCAAAACTCTCCACTAGCAGCCCCCATGGAGGGCTTTCCAGGTGTTCTTGAGACATTTCTGAGGTGAAATATTTGACTTGGATCTAGTGTTCCAATGGACTCACTGTTCAGTAAGCAATTTTCCAAGTTTAAGTTATTACATCTTTATTACTGCACCTAAGTCACTTTCTCTTCGTTTGTCTTCATAAGAAATGAAGACTACACAGCTACTGTGTACTGTTGGATAACCCTTGATCCTTCAGTGGTGAAGGACCTTAGGAAAAAAGTATGGCTTTCAGGAACTAGCCACCTGAAGCATCCCAGATGGATGGTAATCTGCTGTATTTTTAAGAAATCACTCACATATTTCTCCTGTCAGACAGTAATGATGTTGTTTTCCTACACTTTCACCCTAATTACCCAGCAATGTGACCCTTGAGGGGGGCTAGTCTGCGGTACGCACTTCACATTCCTGTAAAGAAGGTTCCTGGCAGCATGACACTTTCTTCTATCATATTCTTTCTCTGTCCTACTTCTCTCCCTGCAGGGGACTTATTTATTTCCCTTTATTCTTGAATGGTTCTAGATTGCATTCAGAAATTGCTTTCCTAAATCAGTAGTCTTTTTAACAATCTAATGTAATTGTAATCTAATGTGATTGAGTGTAGAATTTCTCAGCAGGAGAGGCGTGACTGCTAGACACAAGATCACACAAAAACCAAATAAATGAAAGACACCATGTACGAATATTACAGAAAATCTGGGAACAGTATTTGAAATTTACAGTATTCATGTCTCTAGATCCTTTTGCTGCATTAATATGCAAACTAAATATTTACATTGTTTCTAAAAACATGGATGTGTTGATGTGTTTGCTATATAAATTATTACAAGTTGCAGAATATACTGACAAAATTGATTTATGGAAAAAAAGAATCCAATTTCTAATAACCTCACCCAAAAATATATGCAGACAGACACATACACAAATCTTAACCATAGTACTATTCCATGTAGCTACACAGACTTTAACCACTGTAACCACTGAATCATCAGTAAGATAATCAACCACTGTAAATTATACTTCTCTCCTTAAAAGTGATGTTTCCTGACAAATTGCATGCCAACAAAATAGTCACCATAAAGTAAGTGAACTCACAAAACAGAAAACTATGCACTATTTTTTGAACTTTTCAAATAAACATACACATGTAAGTTATTCACATGTGTGTTCTCTCACACACATAAACACACATATTTATACATGTATGTAACAAACACGTTATGCAATTTTGCATATATATGTAGTAGGAGGAACTAAGGCTTCTCTATAGAACTGATGAATCAGCTTCATCACAAGACATTTATCCCATCACTCAGCAATGCACTGAATCTATGGTCTTCTGGCCAAAGGTACTGGGGCACTAAGAAGAGAATGAAGGGTAAGGGGGAGATGGTAGGTACCACGTGGGTGCCTTGCCTCATGGACTGCATTTGAGCCTCTGCAGAAAGATGAAGGCCAGAAGGTGAGGGAGAAACCAGGAGCCCCATTGGCAAAGGGTTCTGCCAGCTGAGGAAAGACCGTGTGTTTTCCACTCTCTGCTGCGATCCTGCATGCCAACTTTGTAGTGCAAGGGCTCAAGGAAGCCTTCTGTGGAGAAGGTAGCATGGGGCAAGGGGGCAGAAAGACTTCAGACCTGCTGCAACTCTCTTGGCAAACTGGCCATTGGCAGCAATGGGAACACTGAGGTGTTCCTCTCCACAGATATGTAAAAATCTGAACCACCCCAGATCATGAACTGACTGCCTGGGACCCTCAAAATTAAAATGTTGAACTCGTACTCCCAATATGATGGTATTTAGAGGTGGCGGTTGTGAGAGTACAAGAAGACAGTGCTCTGCAACCTGGAAGAGAAACCTAACCAGAGAAGATCATCCTGGTACCCTAATTGTTCCAACCTCTGAACTTAAAGGAATAAATTACTGTTCATTATAAACTACCCAGTCTATACCGTTTTGTTATAGCAACCTGAACTGACTAAGACAGTTTGTAGCAAAGCCCACTTGAGACTACCCTGCCATCAAGCAGCTCCCAGGAAAAGCTCAGGAGAACTGTGCTCTTACTTACTGAAGTAAGGGCAAAAGAACCTGTGAGATTAGGGTTAACTGGACTTAATTTATGTATTTATATTCAGAGATCAGTGAGGAAAATAGAATATAGCTGATGTGTGTGTTTCAAAGCTGAGATAAAGGTAGAAATGACAGATAGAAAGTGGAGATGGAATTATATAGACTACACACATGCATCCATTTATATTCACTGGAAAGAAATATATTTCTAAAAGACATGTTTACAGGTTGTTTTCTTTATAAATCTTGGCACCAAAACATTCCCCTAATAATTGCGTAATGCTTCTTTGAGTTATGCAAATCATATTAATAAAAGCAAGAAAATATAAATTCTAGAATTATTTCTGGGCAAAGTAAATTTCGAATGATTCAAAGCTTAAAGGGGGTAAAAAAAAAAAACTCACATATTGCCTTCTCTTTCTTATTATACAAATTAAGTACATCCGTCTGGGTGCTTCTGGGTGTCATTTGAAAACACATCAAAAAACAACCTTCCCCCTTGGTATTTCTTTTCTGGGACTTCGGGGTGAGGGAAGCAGGATTATGTGGCCCTGTGAGGAAGGCAGATGTGGTTAGTGGGGTGACCCAAGGGTGCTCCTGAGACTCTGGGGTGCGGCGGGGCAGGTGAGAGTTACCTTCAGTCCTCTCCGGGGGCTTCCCGCTCTTACTGGCTGTGGTACTGTTGACCGTCTCCGAGGAGGTGCTCAGCTTGGTGCTGGGGTCCCGCTTGGGCTTGGGTGGTGGCTGTCTCCGGGTGCAACAGCTGCTGTCATCCTCCGTGCCCCCGACAGAGTGCAGGGACTGGGACCTCACCGTGAAACCACTCGAGCAAGGATGGGGAAGCCTGTCCTGAGGAGCGGGCATCGTCATGAATCCCATGCGAAAATGTTTGCCCACGTAGCTTGCTTCATGGCCTCGCCCTACTTCTCCACCTATGCTGTAAAAGAAAGCAGACCAAAATCCATGAAGAGAGAACCAGCCTGTGTATGCAGGGTCACAGACACAAGCTTATTTCACCTACAGGTGAAATTTCAAACTTTAACTTTGGACTGAAGAAGCATTCATTTGACAAAGGGCTGCCTTTTAAAACAATTTTAAGTAGCATGGAAGCATTCTACCATTTTATGTTTGAGTATGAAAATAAAGCAAATACAATTTGATTACCATTAGAAATCTTAACTCGTATTTCCAGCTATCTTGATATCCAGATGCACCGAATCCCTCAAAGTGAGGAAGATCCTGCACAGCACACTGTGTCTTCAGTCCTTTTTGTTTGTTTGTTTGAGACAAACAATATTAGTAGCTTAAACAATAAACAAGGATTTGGTGCCAATGATTCCTGGAATAATTTTGAGTCTGAGTGTCCAGGACTTAGACTCATGCCCACTTCATTAAAATCAGCCTTATCTGCTTATTACATCGGGGAAAATTAAACAACACAGGTTCTCTTTTCAAACACCAGAAAGAAAGGAAGAAGGAGAAAATGCAAGCAATATGTGTTGCTGCACATCTATAATCCTGGTCTTCTGGGAGGTTAAGGAAGGACTACAAATTGAAGTCCAGCCTGAGCAATTTAGGAACTTGGTGAGACCTTGTCTAAAAAATAAATAAATAAAAAAGAGACCTGGTTATAGAGATCAGTGCAAAAGCCCAGGGTTCCATCCAAGAGAAGAAAAATAAAGAGTGAAAGATAGAAGGAAGGAAAGAAAAGGAGAAGGGAAAGAAGGAAGGAGGAAAGGAAGGAAAGAAGGAGAAAAGGAAGGAAAGAAGGAAGGAAGGAGAAAAGGAAGGAAGGAAAGAAGGGAGGGAGGGGGAATAAAATGGGGAGGGAAGGATAGAGAAAGGGAGGAAAGAAAAGGGAAGATAAATATTTTTAAATTGGTGATGAACCAATCGTCAACTTGTCTGTTCTCCAGACACTCTCAGTTGTGATAGAGATTTACTTACTACAAAAAGGGAAAAAAATCAACGCTCTTAACAAGCAGGACTCCCACAACAACAACATTTAGTAAAGAGATATAGTTGAAAGACTAACTGATCTGAGATGGCTCTAATTATTTCATAAGTATTCAAGATCTACAAGGTTTCCAAGTTTAAGGTTAAATTTAACACAGGAAGTTTGAACACACATTTAAAAGAGACACATCTCTCAGTTTGAAATTCATCTAATCATCTAGGAAACTGTTCTTGAACCTCTCTCTGTGCTATTAAAAAACGGACATAAGAATGAACTCAAAATTTAGGAGGCAGATTTCTCTACAGTTTTACTATATCTACAGAGTTCATTCCCCCATGGGAGGGGAATGAAAAGAAATATGACTACAAGACTTTTAACTGACTTTCTTAGACACTTTTTACATATGAGTAGTAAAAAGTATCTTTGAGTATATGAATTTTGGAACTTCACTGAGTCTACATTTCTTCATAAATACATTTATCAAGAATTCTTTGTAACCTTAATTTTAACTGGCTATTCCTTCATAATGTGATGAAGTTCAAGGTTAGAATTATACTTTGCATTATTTTTTCTTTCATCCTATAATGACCTTTATCACAAGTTTAACATCCCAGGAGGAGCAATAATGAGAAATAAGTGACAGACTTAGGACAACTACATACCCATTGTGGATAAGTCAGAAAGGAATTAACAACATCATTAGACTCTGACTGTGCCATTGAATTACAGTGATAACATGCCACCAATTTAGAAACATATATCACCCTTTCCTTGAATATTTTCAGTTGTTACTCAGACCTCTGCAATGAGGGTGGCTGCAAGTTCAGTCCATCAGTGAGCCCTAGATACCCAGTAAGAGGAATCACATTAAAGTTACGGTAAAGCAGGAGTAGTCACACCAGAACAGCAAGCATCCTACCTCTGTGCAGTGATTCAAAGCATTTTATTTGCTGGATTTATTTCAAGAACCTTCATCAAGACATAAATAAGGAGCTTACTCAGAGTGGCTTGGTGAAAAATCATTAAGAACTTAAGAGAGAAAAGGGTGGAGGACGAGAGGGCAGTCTTCATGGTATGGGAAGCTTGTCTTAGGTTGTGATGACTCTAGCCATGATCTCACAGATGAGATATACGATTTTATCTAATTTTCCCTTAGATTATGTTTTATCCCCATGTCTTTTCCTTTTTCTGGTGTATCACTGAACAAAAGGAGTTTTAAGGATTTATTTGGACAATCGTTTTCAGTAAACAGCCTCCTGAGGAGATTTATGCTTGTGTTAGTGCACAGGGGCATTAACGAGAGACTTAAAAGAAATAATTATATCAGCAATTTTCCTGTTACTTTTGACCTAAATAGGGTCTGTGCCTTTTGCCGGATAGATAATGAGCTCTGCTGCATTGTTTCAGAATTACCTTTTTCTCAGCACAAAACACTTTACCTGCTTCTGTTCATAAATGTGCTTACACACACACACACACACACACACACACATGCACTTCTTCCAAGAAAAATTCAATATGTGCTTTGAACAAGAGCAGTTACAAGTTGCAAGTTTAGTTGGCCAGGTTGTGAATGCAAGATGAAACAGTGGAGCTAAGATTGAGTATAATAACTGAAGCCCATAAGCAATTTCTGAATTTGCTAAAAGCCCTGTGAAACATCTAAATATGCAGATTCCTGGACTCCACAGTAAGGGCAACAACTGCATTATACCTGTGGATTCAGAATCTCTGCAACTGTAGCCAACAAGTTTGTGTTTGAAAAACTCCATCCCTGTTTCTGAAGTAGCTGGGCCAGAACCCCTTAGAAACATTAAAAACAATCATCATTACTCACAAACATCTGTTAGAAATAGTCAGAAGCTACAAGTACCAAAGGAAAAGTCACAAATAAGAAAAAGTGCGCTGCATTATCATTCAGATCTTTTTAGGTTTTCCTGCACTGAGAAATAATCTCCAGTCTCTACTGTTTACAACACAGGTTTCCTGCTTGTGTCACTGGGACTACCTGTTCATGGGCTGTGGCTTTGCTCCCTACACTACTTTCATTCTACCATGTAGTCCTGTCTGGGTTGCATTCTCACTGCTGAGACACAATTTAAAGGAAGAAAGGTTTAGTTTGGTTTGTAGTGTGCACAGGTTTCAGTTCATAGTCAGGTGGTTCTGAGGCAGGACATCACAGCTCAGGTGCATGGCAGGGTGAGTTGTTTATGGAATGGCAGACAGGAAACAGAGATAGAATGAAAGGGAAAACAGGAAAGAGATAAACCCTTCCAATCAACACCCCCCAGGGATCCATGTCTTCTCAACAAAGTCCACTGTCTAAGAGCAAGTCAGTTATAAAATCGCTATGGAATAATCCAGTAATCATTATAATGTGTCCAATCACCTCCCAAAAGTGCATGAGGTTTGGGGGAGAAATCTAGATACAAACCATAACGTTCTACTCCAGCCCCACATCCCCTTATGCAAAATGCATTTCATCCATCTCTAAGAGATGTTAAAGTCTTAAGTTTCTGGATTGCCAAAAAGTTCAAGTACAAAGTCTCCTCTGAGACATATGGCACACTCTTACCTGTGAGCCCCTATGAGAAAATAAAAAAGTTAAACAGTGCCAGCATACAATGGCACAGGATAAACACTCCCATTCTAAATGGGAGAACAGGGGACTAGAAACCAATGAAACCAAAGCAAGACCAAAACCCAGCTGGGCAAACATTAATTCCTGTAGCTCCTTGTCTAGCACCTGGGGCAAACTGTTGCAACATGTGAACTCCAAAAGCTTTGGTTGGCGGCATGGCCAGTGGTTGTAACCCTCATAGCTTCTCTCTTGTACTGGCTTTGTTCACTGCTTGTGGCTTTCCTTAGATGTTTTACATTCCTGGCTTCTCCAACATCCTGGGGTCTCGAGTACACTTGGGGCTTCAGACTCACAGCTTCATGCACTGCCATCTCAGGGCCACACTTCCTGCCCTCCCAGTTCTGAAATCTGGATGGAAGGTGCTCTGATCCCATGAGGCTTGCATTCTGCAAGTCTGTAAAATCAGCACCGCGTGGATGATGCAAAAGTCTGCTGCCAGCTTGAGCAGTAGCCAGGGGCCTTTGAATCGTGGCTGCACTGACCTCTGATTGCCTAGAGGATAGAGTGCTGGGAATTAAATCCTGGGGAATAAAGGTTCTAGGCTGCCATTCTTCTTCTCCAAGAAGGTGCCCTGGGGCTGTCTTCTCAGAAGAAAGGCTTTCACTTTTGTAACATTGAGTCTGTGAATGGTGGGGTCCTGCTGGTTTCTGTAATGCCTTCAAGCCATCTTTTTCATTACTCTGTTGCAAGGGACTCAGCTTTGTTTTATTGTCAAACTTTTCAGCAGCCAGGTTCTCTTCTACTCCATGTTTATTGGACCCAACTTTAAAGGAGGTTCCTCTCTGGCAAAACTCAAAATGTTTTAAATGATTCAGCTCAGCTCTTAGCTCTTGATTCTCAATGTAGAGCTTGCTAAAAGCACCCAACAGTACCCAGGCCACAGCTTCAATGTTTGGCTGCCTTGAAATTTTCTCTGCCAGGTTAATGACCTCACTGCAGTTAATTTCAGTCTCTCTTAAGGTCTCAGGACATAAGCAGAGTGTAGATAAAATTTCTGCCAGAGCATAACATGGATGATTTGGAGTCCAACTGCCAATGGAATCCTTGTTCCCAACAGAAACCTTCTGAGACTGGTCTTTTCTGTCTACATTTCTATCAACATTTTGGTCTTCTGAGTTCCATCCAGAATCTCCTAGCAATCTTGGCTTATAGTATTGTAGGACTGGTTCTCCAGTAGACATCTTCAAATATTTCCAATTCTCCCTGAAAGCAGTTCCAAGGCATCTAAAACATATGATCAGTCTCAAGCAATGTCCCCACTTCTCTGGCGCCAAAATCTCTCTCAGTTATTTTCTTATCACTGAGACACAATACCTGATGCCCACAAATTAAAGGAAGA